ATTGCAGGAAATTCATTGCTCAGTTTGTCTGTGCAATGGATCAACAGCATCCTCTTAAAAGTTTACTAAACTGTTCTTGCTTCCTATTACATAAATGTCTGCAAATCACACCGCAGTCAATGGTTTTAAATGACTCCCAAATACATCATTGTTTTTGCCAGAACTATTGCAATATAACTGCCCTTAATTACAATCCTTCCTTATCTACCTAGGCTTATTATAGACCTGCAAAGCATAGTTAATCCAAAAAGGAAATTGATGCAAACAATATAGTATTTGCAGGGCACTGTGAACCAGACCAAGAAATTGGGATCAGATGCCAATGTAAGGAACTTTATAAACTAAACAATACTGTAGCAAAGCCAGTAGTTTAATGCAGAAGTGTCATTGTTGAGATTTTTGCACAACCCAATAGCTGACAGAAGGAGGGAGAAAGGTTGTAGAGAGACTACAAAATGTAGCGAAACATCCAGAAATAAGATACACTTTCATAAATATCTTCATATCAGCTGTGCACTGCTATAGTAACTTAGATTTGCTGAAAGGGTAACCGTCCAATATTTCAAATGACCAATAAGTGACACTCATTTACTTAGCTAGAGGTATTTTATCTGACTTCATGACCTCCAGATAATCACTCATGGAACTGAATGTTAAAGGAACACTATAGTCACCTAAATTACTTTAGCTTAATAAAGCAGTTTTAGTGTATAGATCATTCCCCTGCAATTTCACTGCTCAATTCACTGTCATTTAGGGAAAAAAATCACTTTGTTTCTGTTTATGCAGCCCTAACCACACCTCCCCTGGCTATGATTGACAGAGCCTGCATGAAAAAAAAAATTGGTTTCACTTTCAAACAGATGTAATTTACCTTAAATAATTGTATCTCAATCTCTAAATTGAACTTTAATCACATACAGGAGGCTCTTGCAGGGTCTAGCAAACTATTAACATAGCAGGGGATAAGAAAATCTTAATTAAACAGAACTTGCAATAAAGAAAGCCTAAATAGGGCTCTCTTTACAGGAAGTGTTTATGGAAGGCTGTGCAAGTCACATGCAGGGAGGTGTGACTAGGGTTCATAAACAAAGGGATTTAACTCCTAAATGGCAGAGGATTGAGCAGTGAGGCTGCAGGGGCATGTTCTATACACCAAAACTGCTTCATTAAGCTAAAGTTGTTCAGGTGACTATAGTGTCCCTTTAATTAGAGCAAGAATAAAGTTTTCTGTTTACACATTTATTGTAGGTTTAAAGGGATTCTATAGTGTAAGGAATACAAAGCTGTATTCCAACCAATATATCCCCCCCCCCCCCTGTATTGCAAGGGTTAATAAACCCTTACTGTACTTACCCAATTCCAGCACCAATGTCAGTGATTCGCTTCCTCCAACATCACCTCACAGTGGGAGCTAATGCGCATGTGTGGTGAGAGCATTAGGCCCTCCCCATAGGAAAACATTGAATCAACGCTTTCCTATGGGGATTTTACTGACACAGGATGTCCTCATGCAGAGCACGAGGACGTCCGGCGTCAGGCGACTAAAAGTCACCTAACCACCAGGAAGTGCCTCTATTGGCGGTCTGATTGACAGTCACAATAGGCAGTCTTAGCCCTGTTATGTAATTCTTGCAGTTTCTAGTAACTGCAATAACTAACACTGCAGACTTAAGGGGACAGTGTCACTGCACCCAGACCACTGAAATGAGATGAAGTGGTTTGGGTGACTACAGTGTCTCTTTAAGACACTTTCCTGTGGATTTTATTGCAGTGAAGTTCTGGAATGCACACACACAATACAACTGGAACTCAAGGAAAGAGGGACATTAATATAGAAAAAAGGATGGAGTCGGGCCAAAAACAAGGAATGTCTTTCCTAATTAGAGACACTTGCAGGGAGCACAAATCCCTGCATGACCTCTGGATATTGTATAGATTTGTGTACAACACATTTTAAACAATGTTTATGTGTTAGCACTGCCACACTGTGTACTTTCTTTTAGAAACATTACATAATGTGTTATGTTACTTGAATGTTCTTTTAACACTTAGTTTCTAGAAAATGCAGAATAGCAGAGTAACCCAATCTATACCCTTCATCTACATTCCAGAAATTTTGCAGGTTGTTTTTGAGAGAGACTCCCAGATAAAATCCAGAAAGCTAAGAAATAAATAGATTCATAGTTGGACCTATATCACAAATATGATCCTGCTGACTCCAGTGCATCAGCTAATGTACAGATATATTGTGATTATTATATATACAGATCTCACAGCAAACTACATATAATACTGACTGTGCCATGAAAGATGCTCCATAAATAAACCAAGTAATGGCAAAGCATACCTTTTTCTTACATAGAGCTGACAATGTGCACATTTTAAAACCACAGTAAGTAATATGGTTAAGTAATTGCATCAGCTCTAAGTAGGACAATGATTTATAAACAATAGATCCTCGCTGCTGCCTGGGAGACCATCATTAGCGCGTGTCATATGGTCAACATGGATTTTCACCATAATAAAGTCTGTGCACAAAGACCATAGAAAAAATACATACACATAGATATTGCCATGTACGTTTTAATAAGGAGAGGCAATGCATAATTAGGATGTATAATGAACACTACAGGGTACAAACTAAACAAATGGTCTATAATGTAATTTAGTCATTGTAAAAATTAGTTATTCTTACTCCCGGCATGTATCAAGCTTACAGTGAAAAGTTCTAAATAATATTATATAGACTTATTTATTGTAAGTCTTACAAAAAGTGGTGTGTGTATATATTTTACACACACACAAACACACAATAATTCATTAAAGTGAACTGTTAGGCACATCTATTGGAAAAAGTCAACAATGTTTCCTATTTGTCTATTTTGTCAAAGATCTGAAATTCGGGACGTGGCTTTGGCGCCGACCGGGATGGCCGTCTAACCTGTGAGCTGCGCTCCAAATGCCCCATGTAAAGCGCTTGTACAGCAGCCACACAGCCTCTCATGGGATCACAGTCCGGGTCTCACTCCGGACCTATGGACGGATTCCTCCATACTCAGCCCAGCGCATGTGGCGGAGGGGAGTGTGCCAAGATATTGGCACTGGCCTTGCTACACTTGTTTTCCACATCTATCCTGAGTTACAAGAAATCTTTCACCATTTGCTTAACGCGGCTAAGGCCCTGATCCCTGTTTTCTGGAAAAAAAACGGAGACTCCCACTAAAGAAGCCTGGCTACGAAGGGTGAAGGAGATACAGGCAGCTGAGGCGATGCATGCCTCTCTTCTCGGGATGGGTCACAGACACGCCGAGGCCTGGCAACCATCGTTTGTATATATGTCACATGACTTATCATGCTTACACGAGCGGATGATGTGGGGGGTGCCCGGGGACGCTCGCCTGCCCGGATACGGAACCTCTCTTGCTTCTTTTCTTCTTTCACTATTTCTATTCACTTTGCTCTTTTTCTCTGATTTTATTCAGGACCAGAGTAGGAAAGGATTGACACTCCCCCCCTAATACTTATATCAGCCTAATTGGCAAAGGGAAAAATCTGGCAGGTGCTACTGCTGGGGTGCGATTGGCGCACCAAGCTTCACTATGTACATTGTACAACGCAGAGTTCCATACAAAACACATGTAACAACTATGAACCAGGAATAACTTGTTAGCCACTGCGGTTTACTTGATCCTAAAGTTGTGGTGGGAAAACGATATTAGATTGTCCAGGAAACCACATGTGTAACATGTAATAATGGTTTCATAATTTTCATAATAGCCGTTTCAGGAATGATACTTTGTTGCGATGCATGCACTGTTTCATATGTTAGTACATATTTCAGATTTTGAATGATTACACAGATGGCAGACACGGGGGCCTGTAGGGAACTTTCTCTGCTCCTTTTCTCTTTACTTACTTATCTCTCGCATCTTTCTTTGTTCGCTGTCCTCTCTTGCAGACCTTACTACATTGACATGGAGGTGGGAAGGACTGACTTTCACATCTGACACAGGAAGCCTTATAGAACCACAGGCAGATATAGACATAAGCTATCATTGGGGAATGCTGTATAATCTTACTTATAATGAAATATGAATACCATCGCCCGCAATTGTATAACAACTGAAAACATAAATGGATCCGTACAAGCTGTAAAGCTGTGTAATATCTGCATGTATGTATGTATGTGGTGGGGCCTGTGTGCCTACAACTCTTCTGTCTCCATATCTACAAAAACTCACTAAAAAAAATTCACAAATAAAAAAAAGAGATCAGAAATTCACTTTGAATTCCTAACAGTTCATACTTTAGTTAATAGCTCTGTTTCACAATGTAATTTTATAGCGACTGTTTTAAGCAACTTAAAATGTTCTATTGGGGTCCATAATCATTGTTCATCTTCCCAACCAATACGGTGCACCCATTCTTGCTCATGAGAGCAAACTGTGATGCAAGGAATCCACACGTAATATTTTAATTATAATTATTGTATGGGTGCTCCCCAGAGGTGACATAACGGGAACACCTTACCACATGTGTTCCCTATTAGGGGTTAATAAGTTTAGATAAATACCCCTCTCTTTTCAGAGTTTTTTTTACCATTAGCTAAAGACAGCAAAGTGAATTTTTAGTGTAGGCCTCATGATAGTGGTCTTGCCTTGATGAGGCAGGTGAGCTTACAGTTAAATGGCCATTGGAGTGATACTAAAAAAACTACAGTTATTTAAATGTGCATGGGGATTTGGGATAGTGCACATGTAACGTTTCTGCTTGATTTCTATTGTATGAATTTGGGCTGATGTTTACTGTAGTCATAGCTGCCGCCTAAGAGTAGTGGAAGTTTGAGTGCAGGTCTTAATTTTGTATGTTTATAAGGGGAACACACGCTGCGTGCAGCAGTCAACAAGAACAGATATTTAACAAAAAGTAAAAAGCTGGTGGTGCAATCTCTGTATGAGATACTTTCTAGCTATATATTGATACATTAAAAATGCAAATTAGGTCTGTCCCCGCCAAGCTGCTTTCAGTGTAATACTCCTGTTATTACCTTCCATTCAGAATGTACGCTTGCGCCAAGTTTGTGTCATCCCCAGCCCTGATAAGGAATGGAGCCAGCCAGTATTCTCTGCCGTCCACTATCTGCCCCACTTCTGAACTACACCGTACTTAGGACAGAGATGCAGTTGCTACCTGTTCCAGCCCGAGGGATCCAGAGCAGTGCAGTGTGCAGGGACATTGACACTGCTGCTAAGTTCATTGGCGCTGGTGCTGCCACAGTTGGAGTAGCAGGCTCTGGTGCTGGTATTGGCACTGTATTTGTAAGCCTGATTATTGGCTATGCCAGGAACCCCTCTCTCAAGCAGCAGCTTTTCTCCTATGCCATCCTTGGATTTGCTCTGTCCAAAGCTATGGAACTCTTCTGTCCAGGGGCGGACTGACCGGTCGGGCACTTCGGACATGGTCCGAGGGCCCGGCCGGGAGGGGGGCCCGCCGCCAGGGCCGCCTTCAGGGGGCCCTGGCGGCAGGGCTAGATTGTGGGCGGCATTTGGGGACTGCAGGTGCCACCAGGTGGCCGGTCCGGTGGCACACTGTGAGGGGGCCGGCCGGCCGTTTGATGCTGGAGCCGCCGGACCGGGTGGCAGCCTCGCCGGTCCGGCGGCATTCCTCTCAATAACGCTGAAGAAGGAGGAGGAGGAGCATGTGTCTATCATGCTCCCTGCGGTTCCCACAATTCCCAGCACAGGATGTGGGAACCGCAAAGGAGCATGACAGACACATGCTCCTCCTCCTCCTTCTTCTTCAGTGTTAGTGAGCGGAATGCCGCCGGACCGGCGAGGCTGCCACCCGGTCCGGCGGCTCTAACATGAAACGGCCGCCCCCCTCTGACTAGTAAGAGGGGGGAGAGATGGGGAGGGGGGAGAAAGAGAGGGGAGAGATGGGGAGGGGGGAGAAAGAGAGGGGAGAGATGGGGAGGGGGGAGAAAGAGAGGGGACATAGAGATGGGAAAGGGGGAGAAAGGGGGGGCAATAAAGAGATGGGGAGAAAGAGAGGGAAGAATGAGACACAGGGGGAGACAGAGAGGGAAGAATGAGACACGGGGAGAAAGAGGGGGAATAGAGAGATGGGGAGGGGGAGAAAGAGACAGAGAGGGAAGAATGAGACACAGGGAGAAAGAGGGGGAATAGAGAGTTGGGGGAGGGGGGAGAAAGAGAGGGAAGAATGCCCCCCCTCCCCTGTCCGCAGGCACCGTGCGGGCAGGGGAGGAAGAGAGGACCTGGGAGCTCACCCTGCAGCTCCTCTGGGTCCTTCTTGCGCGAGCACAGAGCGTTGCCGCGGTTACCATGGCAACGTTACTGCTCTTGCGAGAGTCAACTCTAGCCCTGGAGCTACGGGCTAGAGTTCACTCTCAACACTGTAACCCCCATGGATTCCTGGTGGTCGCAGTGGTGAGAGTGAACTCTAGCCCCATAAACACACTGCCCCCACACACACACCATACACATTCACACACTGCCCCCATACACACCATACACATTTACACACATTGCCTCACACACACACATACACTGCCCACCCATATACACACAGACCCCCATACACAGCCCCCCATACTAACATTGCCACACACATACACTGCCCACACACCCTACACATTCACACACTACACCCCCACACACACACTGAACCTTTCACACACATTGCACCACTGCTCCTATTCCCTACTACAGCCTCATATCCCAGCAGACCCCAGGTAAGTTGTCAAACTGTTCTTAAACGGTTTGACTACTTACTCTGGAGCAGTAGTGGTTATTGTGCATGGATTATTTCTTTAAATAATCTACAAGTGCCCCAGTAGCCAGCCAGCCAACCCACAGGCTGGCCAGTAGCCAGCCAGTTAGCCAGCCCACAGGCCAGTAGCCAGCCCACAGGCCTACAGCAAGCCACAGGCTTACAGCCAGCAAGCCACAGCCTGCCAGCCGCAGCCTGCCAGCCGCAGCCTGCCAGCCGCAGTCAGCAAGCCCACAGCCTGCCGGCAGTAGCCAGCAAGCCCACAGCCTGCCAGCCGCAGCCAGCAAGCCCACAGACTGCCAGCCAGCAACAGTAATTAAGGTAAGAGGAGCCAACTTGGCTTAGGTATCAGCGAGCTATGTTGTGTTGCTATATTGTGAATAGGAAGAGAGCTGGAGAGACCACCCTCCAGGCCCCATTAGACTCTAGCCTCTGCTAGAAATCCCCTCCATGGCCCATTAGCCCTCAATTGTAGTTTCTACTGGGGCCTGGAGGCGACTGTTTCCAGCAGGGGATATCTAATGGACGCTGAGATGGCCTCTGTTAGAAAGACCCCCTTCCAAGCCTTTTAGACTCCATTGTAGTCTCTAATGGGGCTTGGAGGGGATTCTATCTAACACACTCTCTAAAGGACACTGAGATAGCCTCCGCTAGAAAGACCCCCCTCCATGGCCCATTAGCCCTCAATTGTAGTCTCTACTGGGGCCTCGAAGGGCTTATTGCCCTTTTGTTCCTTGTGTCTAAAGATTGTGTAGGGTGTGGCTGGAGGCGGTGCATGGAGGCGGGACAAGGGTGGCGCTTGCTGCAGAGTATGGGTGGGGCCTGTAAGGGGGCCCTTGATTTATTTTGCCCGGGGGCCCTGAGGGTTCTCAGTCCGCCCCTGCTTCTGTCTTATGGTTGTGTGAATAATCTCACCTATGTCAATGCCATTTATCTGTGTCCCAATCTTATCTGTAGCTGAGGGTCATCCCCCTTCTATTAAAGGGAAACTAAAGTTAAAGGGAACACTTTTCTACTTTTTTGAAAAACGTTTTCCTAAATGTTTATATTCATATCTCTGTATCATGTCTGAATGTAAGTTATTTAGAAAAACTTGTATGTGCCATTTTTTTAAAGCTGGTTAGGGGAAGCAATTTTCCTTTTCACTTGCTCTCTTGAGCACTTCCTGAACAGGAAATCGAAAATAAAAAAATAATATGTACATATTTGCGAGTAAAATACTTCCATACAGTAGAAACTTGTGTATTTCATATATAGTTTCTCTTTAAGTTTACCCTGCTACAGGATTGGCCAGTTGATTCTGGGAAATAAACAAGTAATATTTAAAAAAAAAAAAAATGCAATTAATATCTATCAAATTTCATGCACTTTGATGTCCTTCTATTTATTTGTGCCATAGCTTTTATAGAAAAGGGGGGGTGGGGGACCAAGGATACCCATCTTAGTGTGAACCTGTATTAATGGAAAGGTTAAGGGTCATGATAAGGTGAACTGTGAGCATCTAATGGTTCTGTAATGCCCACAATTATCTACAGCTGCTACTGGTTACATCTGAATTACTGATTGAAGAGTTGAGTGAGTTCAAGGGAAAACGATTATGAATAAGAGGGGATTGGGTGAAAAGAAGAGAGAAAAAACTATGAGATTGTGCAGGAGTGAGCAATAGCTTTCTGCAAAACTGTGGTACCTTCCACCTAGTAGGACTTAAAAGAAGAGGGCTGTTTTTTACAAACATGTTCGCTTGATCCACCTGTATGTCTTCATGTACTTCAGGAAGTAGAGCAGGCTAGCAACAAGTTACAGGGATGCTATAATCACCAGAACTATGGCTTAATGTAGAGGTGCTGGGGTCTATAGCATATTCCTGCAGGCATTTTAATGTAAGCACTGCCTTTTCAGAGAATAGTCAGTATTTACATTACTGCCTAGGAACACCTCAAGTGGCTGTCACTCAGACGGCCACTAGAGGTGCTTCCTGGATCAGTGCTGCACAGTGCGCTCTGCATGGAAGTTCTCAATGTTCCCTCCTTTAGAGATGCATTGATTCAGAGCATGTTTCTGAGGAGATGCTGATTGGCCATGCAGCGTTTTGCCACATGTGCCCATTAGCCTCCCAATGCTTTCCTATGGGAAACCATTGAATCGGCTGAGATTGTCAATACTGTTTATCTCAGCCAAGGACCCAGAACGAGGGCGGCCCTGGAATAAAAGTAAATTTAAATCCTTTTTAAGGTGGGCAAGGGGAGGCAGCCACTTAGCATGTTTTTTAATGCTATAGGATCAAGAATGCATGTTTGTATACAGACTCTACGGTGTTCCTTTAAGCTACTTTTCTTCTTTCCAGTGCTACAACTCTAAACACAGACAATCTCTAAAGCTGTTCAAAAGGTTCCATTAAGAACTCAAAGGACTATTACAATTCAGACACCAAAGTAGCCACACTAAAAGCATAGCAAAGTTAGAAAATGCTTCAAGGTCAGCTATTTTTACCTTAAATTCACTTGAATTCTCACTTTGGTGAATAACCCAAACAATCTGGGTCCTAATGTGTGAAGAGTGTGTCCCCTTCAGGCCCAGAGCACCTGCCATGCAAAGACTTCGCATTGAGCTGCAATGGGAAAGATGAGCATTTATGTAAACTGTCAGTTTTACGCATGTAAGCTTGATTTTAACTCTCAATTACTATATATTTTCTGGGTTTTAGAGAGCTACATATACATGATTAAAGGTGTAGGGACCTCATATTATGCAAATATCGATTTCTTTCTTAAATTAAAGCAAATTACAGACCTCAGTTTTTCTAGCAGCAGCAGTTTCAGCCATTACAATATAATCTGCCATAGATCTGATCAAATTACAAGTGGAAAATGATTGCTGGTTTAGGAGATCATACACATCCATTTTGATCCAATGATTAATTCAGAAAAACACTGCAATTTCCTACATCATCCCAAATAATTAGTTATGGATTAAAGGACACATCCATGAAAATAACTAAATAACAGCAGTGTGGCAGAAAATCCATGCTTAAGGTTTATTTCTCGACAAGACCCTTATAGATTTATTTGGGTGGTCTTTAGGTTTGTCTGGCACTGATGAGTAAGATATATATATTGCGCTAAGAATGGGAGTGAAAAAAATTGAGATTTGTAGGAAAAAGTCCAACAATATAATTACAAATGTAGTTTGGACAAATGAGCAAATAAGAGACAGTTGGACAAATAGGATGAATAGACGACACAATTTGTCTATAGCAAAAACTTGATACACTCCCTAAACAAGACACAGTGAGAAGCCAATCCAATATAAAACGCTCCACATCAAACAGTATACTTGCATATAAAATAAATCGGGATCTTTCATTTTTCTTATATTTTTGTAGCACATAATTACATGGTCACCATCAGATATAATTTGCAAAGAATAACATGACACTGTTATACTCGGGAGACTTTGCTGAACACAAATAATAGTGTTTCAAAACAGTAAAACCTATCACAACAATGAAATCGGGTTTTAGGGTGTCTTGGAAAGTTACGGTTACATGGCACGTGGGGTCCTAATTTGCAGAGGGAGGACTGTCTGGGCTGTCAGACAATCCCCACAAATGGACAGGAAGATAAATTGCCAGCGGGGGAACGGAGATGATCGGGTAAGTAATTAGGAATACCTCCGACGTACTAGGTCATGGGGGAGGGAGGGGGGGTTATTCGTTATATATATTTTTTGCAATTTTATTTTTACTTTGTGCCTTTTTGAAATTTATTTATTTTTAAATTTATTTAGTCAGTGCCTCGACCCCTCGAGGAAGTGATTGCTCCGGGAGAGCGATCACCCGGTGTCCCAGGAGGTGTTGAGGGATGCCTCGACATCAAGGCATCTCTGCAATACCGTTAGAGTGCCTGGAAGTGATCACGATTGCTTCCAGCGCTCAAATTTGCTGTGGATGTACCAGGTACTTCCGAGGTCGTTAACGACCATTTTTTGTCGGACGTAACTGCTACGTCCACGGTCACTAAGGGGTTAAAAAGAGGACTTTTTCCCACTTGACAATCATTTCTTCAGCAAAGACTCTGTTAAGAATTGAGTGACATGGAGAGCAGAAGAGATCTTCTACAGGCAGTCCATCTGTTCTACAAGCTGAGAAACCACACCATGTACTGCAGTTCCTATGATCACTACCTAGCCAAAACTGCTACTGCTGGCAAGGAGTTTAGGAATGGAGTGACTGATATCCTGACTCTGGCATGCTGGCAATGAAGCCAGCATATCAGAGTCACAGAGGAAGTGTCCGCAAGAAGGACAAATCAAAGAAGACAGTGATTAGAGCTTACATAGACCTCTGGTTAGGTCATGGTGGAGCTGGATCAGAGGATCAGATGAGTCATGACAGGTTCACTCTAAATGTAGAAATGCCCACCACTGCCTTTTACATACCAGCACAGAGAGATCATAGAGTGGGGAGGAGATATAGAAAGAATGTGTCCTATTTGCAATGTGTGCCCTGGCTGTGCCAGGAATGAACTGGAATGTGATGCCAATCACTATACCATCAATGTGCATTTAAAGGACAACAGTTAATTATTGGCAAAATTGTCAAGGAAGTAACGGTTCCAGTTTAGAGTAAAGACTTCTGAGAAATATTACTAGGTACTCTCGAATATAATGACTGGATTTATTTTTTTCCCCAAGGCAATGTGTTTAATCTCTGTATTAAAAAGGAATCATTCGCATTTGTGTGAAAGGAATACAAATGGAAAATAAGATTTTCTTTAAACAAACATTTAAATTGAAACAAAAAATCATTTAAAAGAATCTTAACACAAATAACAGTTTTGATTTAACATTCTTAATATTCTTTTACATGACAGGTCTGCTTTAATTCCCTCTGCTGGTTGTTGTTTAAATTGTTTAATAAAGGATGCGCAATAATTTGAGTTGTCACTTAATCCTACATATTAGAGTGTAATTCAGAAACAGCAATATAGAAACATTGTGGCAAGCTGTATCTTCACAGGAAATAATGTCACTATGTATTGAAAATGTAAATGTATTTATGATTAATTCACGCCTAAACTACACATGTGAAGTTTAGCAGAAATGGAGATTTATTTTTTTCTTCAAATTTTTAATTTTTCTGATAGACTTTGCTACTCTTTATTAATTCATTGCTTTGTGAATAAACCCCTCATTCATCTGGCATAAGTAAAAAAACAAAAACAAATTAAAGACAAATATTTTATTTTTGCCCCAAACGGTTAATCCTTCACTGCAACAACATTAGTGCTGGTTCTCAATTCTATGACTATTCCTATTCATTTATTTACAGGTTTTTAATGAAGATATAAAATTGGGCAAATTTTTGGAGCAGCGCTGATGATCTCAGCCAAGGAGGCAGGGTGACCATGGATTATATATAAATCGTTTTTAATCTGTGCTGGAGGGCAATAATGGAGAATTTTTTTTTTCTCCAAATTTTTAATTTTTCTGATAGACTTTGCTACTCTTTATTAATTCATTGCTTTGTGAATTAACCACTCATTCATCTGGCATAAGTAAAAAAAACAAATTAAAGACAAATATTTTATTTTTGCCCCAAACGGTTAATCCTTCACTGCAACAACATTAGTGCTGGTTCTCAATTTTATGCCTATTCCTATTCATTTATTTAAAGGTTTTTAATGAAGATATAAAATTGAAACTAGCTGTCAAACATTAACATGCGTATAAATGTGGTGAAAAGGTCTCGGCTAAAAACAAGATTACAGGTCTTAGTGTGGTACCCACAATTACCTTCCATTAGATACCTGACCACACAACCCCAGTGAGCATTAGAGAGCCAGTCATTGTACATACACAATTCACTTACAATTAAATTAACATACAATAAAACACCTCTGGAGTCAGGTTTGCAATGTGCTATGCTCAGCTGAAGTTAATCAGCAATAAAGGACCTTAACTAAATTCTGATTTACCCGTCCATCCATACAGAATAAAGAAAGCTTAAATTAAAACTGCATTGCAGGTCTTAGCAGGCAGGAGATAAAAACAGGGAGGTAATCTTAAACCCTGATAGAATAGGAAGAAAAAGCAACATAAACAGACAGTTAAACAAAGACCGAAAATGGGGTACACTGTGGTAAAAAGTATTGCAAAATAAACAAAATGACCAACATTACACGTACATGTCAAATAATTAAGGGAGGTTTCCAAGTATAGAATTCCAATAAGAATTTAAAATGTGTCACCTTTAAATGTATTGCAAATGTTTAAAAGCTGAGTGCTCACCCCTTTTCTAACCGATAGACAGAAGCACGGAGTACAATTTCCCTTACGTG